TGCACCGCGAGCCACGGGTCCACCCCACGCTGTTCCATCTGGTGCCCACTCCTCCCTACCCCACCCCCTCCCTTCCCAGAGAGGAGCCCCAGGGATGAACGCTCTCTCTTTGCCACTCTCCCCACCTGCAGCTGTCCCTGAAGTGTCGAGCACCAGAGGTGTCCCTGCACGTCTACCAGGCCTACGAGACCATCCTCAAGAACTGAGGCCCTGTCAGCACCCACCCCAGCCGTCTCCGGTCCCACCAAGAAAGCCCCGGGGGGGTTAGCACCTCCTCTCCCTCACAGGAGGGGCCGGGCTGGGCTCCTGGCCCCCAGGGGGCTCCCTGGTCCTGACTGCAGCCCCCACCTGGGGCGGCGCCCCTCCTAGGGTGAACTCTCCATGTCCTGGGATGCCCCTCTTCTGTTGCTGCTGACGTTTGGGGTCAGGTGAGGAGGGGACCAAAGGAAATAGAGCCAGAACGCAGCAGAGGCTGCCCGGGGGCCCAGGCTGCTGCTCTTCCTTCCCCCCCAGGCCCCGATTCTCAGGCTTCCCAGGGTTGGTGTTAGAGGCCTTCTTTCCCACCACCGCCCATTGGCTGGGCCTGCCAGCCTGTCCTGGGCACATGGGGAGGCCCCATGGTACCAGAGCAGCTGCCATCAGGGCCAGGGGCTCCGGGGTTCTCCATCGGTGCTGGCAGAGGGCAGAGCTGAAGTGGGGAGCCCAGGGCCTGCCCCACCCACCTGCATCTGCCAGGCTGGTCCCCTCGGCCCCTAAGCGGCGACCCTCATGGTCAAGATCAGGCAGAGGCTCCCAAAGCCCCTGTTCCAGGCTCCTGTCCCCACTGCCTGTTTCTGCCCCTGAAGACGGTCACTGCCGATGGTAGGTTCCTCCGTGTCCCCTCAGCCAGCCCAGGGCTCTGGAGCAGAAAGGGCCAAGGGAGGGGCTGCAGTGGGCTCGCAAGGTGTTTGGAATTTCTCTGGGTTTCTCTTTAGTGTCTGCTACCCTCTTCCTGGCCCCCCGAGTCTCAGTGTGTCCGACAGCATTAGGTAGTCCTGTTACCGCTGTTAATAATAAAGGACGAGTCTGCTTTTGGCAATCACAGACACTTTTTTCCCTCTCCACCAAATGTCCAGGTTGGGGACGGCCCGGAGTGGCTAGGGATGGCTTCTGACCCCTGCGGTAACTGTATCAAATATATATAAATAGACAATATATATTGTATGTTTACTCTTATTTTCCAAAAGAGAATGAATAAAAATGATGACATCAAGTGTGTCCCTGGCCAGTGTGTCAGGTCCTGAGGCTCCTCTGGGCAAGAGTCCTGGGCTGCAGGGACCCCAGGGCCGAGGCCGGAGCTGTGCTCCTACGGCCCCTCTCCTGGCACCACACAGCACCCTCCCTCGGGCCTGGTCTTGGGAACTGGCCCCACCCTGCTGATGCTGTCACCTTCTGATGCTGTTCGGCAGGGCTGGCAGCCCGTTCTGGTTTTCTCAGCTCCCTTCCATCTGGGAGCAGCCTGGAAGAGGGGGTGGGCGAACAGGCTGGGCCAGCCACCACTGGGGACGTCTCATGTGGCCCTGGGGCCCAGGGCAGGGAGTGCTGGCCAGCCGCAGATGCAGCCAGGCAGCCCTACCTCTGAGGAGGGAGCAGCAGGGCACCTCACAGCCCATTGCAGCCCCAGCAGCCAGGAACTGGTCATTAGCAGGGGCACCAGCTCTCCGTTGCCACCTCTGTCCCCTGGGATATGGCTTTGCTGCCCCAGGGACCACAGAGGCTAGAACCAGACAGGCCTGGGTTGCCCAGCCCTAGCCTTAATCTCTGAAAGCCCGTAGATCTGTGTGCCCAAACCTGCCCTGCTGTGGACTACAGGGACAGGGGTGAGCCCTTGACGAGAGACTGTCATCCTGGCCTGTCATGTCACCTGCCATCCCTGGCCCAGACACCCTGAGTGCACTCAGTGGACGTCTGTGGAGCTGCCCTCCCCACCCCCACGGCCTGTGTCGGGTCTCAGCCACGCAGCAGCCTCCGCCTGCATGTCCCCAGCTGTGCACGATGAGGCCCAGAGCCTGGGAATGTAAGATAGCTGTCCCCACTGAGATGACAGGCAGCTGGAGGCATAGGCCAAGCCCCTAGGCGGAGGAGAGCCGCTGGGAAGGGCAAGCTGGCCTGATCAGACAGAGGCTTTGGACCGCCATTGGACACCTAATTCAGTCTGGCTTGAGCCTCGGGCAGTTGTGGCCCTCTTCTAGCGCCCACCATGGTGGGGCCCAGCATGCATTGCAGAGGCTTTATAGACACGGGGAAACTGAGGCAGAGAGGGCCTGCACGTCCCCAGCTCCCCATCACTGCGTCAGAAAAGCAATCACCGGGGCCACCTTTCAGACCCAGGCCCAGGCCCAGGAGACGTGCTCTAGGGAATGACAACTTACAGTCTGCCCAACCTGCTGCAGTTCCCCTGTCGCCGCCTCACCTCACCTCACCTCTGGGAACCCATCACGTGTCCCCCTCGCATGTGGGACTGCCTGACCTGGGAGGCATCCTGTAGCTAGGAGAGTTTCTAAATTTATATATATACACACACACATATATATATATAATTTTAATTACTATCATTATTTTAATTTGCTATAGTGCATACACCAGAAAGAGGGAAAGTGAAATGAGAAAGCAAGCCTCCAGGTCTGGGACTTGAACCGCGCTCAGCATGTTAACCACCATGCCACCTGCTGTCCCGGGGAGGCTCTTCTGAAGACTCTCCAGCATCTTGAGCCCTCGCAGTGGGAAATTCAGTCATAGCCACAGCCCCTTCTGGAGGGTCCAGCAGACTCCAGGGCCAGTGTGTTCCCCGGTGTGTGGACTGCTAGAGCCCGTGGCACGGCCGTGGCTCATATTCTGTCATCTACACCAAGTGGATCGTGTTGGTTTTTACATTTTTGGGGGAGAGGTTTTTGCTACAGGGCACGTGTGCTTGCCAGAAAGACAGACAGAGACAGAGAGACAGAATGCGAGAAATCACCCCCCAGGGGCGATGGCCATGCTGCAGTCCCTTCTCCTCCATTCTCCTCTCGGGATCTTGGGCACACACGCACACGCGCCCGGCATGAGTTCTAAGCCACCGGGTCCGGGACACGAACCGCAGTCGGCTACCTGGGAGTCCAGTGACAGCCATTACGCCAACTGCTGGTCGCAGATCGTGTTGGTTTTTACAGAAAAAGTGGTTCAGGGCCATGGTAGAGCCAGCCACACAAAGGAGAAAGTCCTGCCTCCCCCTTCCTCGGCCCTCAGTCTAGTCTTCCTCCCTAGAAGCAAACGACTGTTGCTAGAACTTTCTCCCAGGGACATTCAGCGCATGTGGATTCACAAATCCATGTGGCTGTTCCCTTGATATGTGCCAGCTCATTTCTCTAAGCTGCCTGTCCCTTCTGGGGCTCGTCCCCAGCGCCTCGCCCAGCTGGGCTGCCGGCAGCCGGACTGCAGATGGACATCCAGGTGTTCGTCTTGTCTGACTCCAAGCGCTGCTGCAGCGAGGGCCCTCCTACATCCGTCCTTGCTGTGGCACACATGAGCTGGCCCAGGGGTGCTGGCCCAGAGGGTGTAAGCTGCACACAGTTTAAATGCTGGTTCTTATCCCGAAAAGGCAACACGAGGCCAGGTGGCAACACCACGGTAAGAATGGACCCATACTGGAGGGTCCCCAGTTCGCATCCTGGGGCCTCCCTGGGTACTCTGTGGGTGTGTGCATGTGAGCCAGCTGTGAGCCCGACTAACCGATGCTGGGGTGGACTTTGGCACGAGGACTCTTTTGGAATGCCTTTCTCCCTCCATTTGTCCCTCCCTCCTATGGAAGAGATTTTTTTTTAAAGAAAAAAGTAATACATTCCCTCGATTCAAAATTCAAAGAATAGAAAAGTCCTGGGCCCCTCCCCCTCATCCTCTCCAAAGGACTCCAGTACTACTTTCCAGATTGAAGGGTGCCTTGTGTTTGCCCCCTTGTCCCTGAGTGCAGCAGCCCCATCCTGACTGTTCTTGTAACGCAGAGGTTTTCCATCGTCCGTCCATTCCAGTGTCCTTGGGCCTTTTTGGTAACAGCTGTGTGGATTCTGTTCAGTGGAAGAGCCGCCTAGAACCTGCTTCCAGGATGTGCATTGAGTTCTCGCCCAGGTGTTCCTAGAGCAGGACATTCTCCAAGAACATCCTTGTTTATCACTGTGTAAAGTAGCTGCCTTCCTGAGAAGGGACTCGCTGGGCCGAGGTAGGTGCATTTACGATTATGAAAGCTGTTGTCGAAGTGCCAGTTCGGCCCTCCACCAGCAAGGCACGAGTGTCCTTCCACACTATCACGAACTCAGTGTATTATCAGAGTAACTGGTACTTTCTTGCTATGTTTGATTGATTGATCGATTGATTGTAGATTTTTTCCATAAGGCATGTGTGCTCACTTGAAAGAGACAGAAAAAGGCAGGGAGTGAGAAATCACCCCCCGAAGGGAATGGCTGCACCACGATCCCTTCTGTATTCTCCTGGGATTTGGGGCATGCGTGCATATGTGCCTGGCATGATTTTCTTTTTTTTAGAGAGAGATTTTTGCTATAGGGCACATGCACAAAACAAAAGAGAGAGAGAGAAATCACCTCCCAGGGGGGATGGCCACACTACAGTCCCTTCTCTTAGAATTTTGGGTATGCACACACTCACACCTGGCATTAGTTTCAAGCCACCGGGTCTGGGACTTGAACCATGGTCAGCCATGGTGCGAGTCTAGCACCCCAACCATGATGCTACCTGCTGGCCCCACCGGCATAGCTTTCAAGCCACCAGGTCTGGGGCTCAAACTGCACAGTTGGCCATTTGGAAATCCAGCACCTTAACCACCATGCCACCTGCTTGCTGTTTGAAATGTTCCTCCTTGTGTTTTCAAGCTGTCTGTACGTCCTTTACTGTGACCTGTCTTTCTCTGTATATGTATATATATTTTTTTCTTTTTTGCCCATTCTTTTATATGGTTATTGGTCATCATCATGCTGATTTGTCACCACTTCTCCCCCTTTCACTACTGCATTTTTACTTTCCCATGCTTTTGTAAAATGTAATTTTTCTTTTAATCTATTCCTTCCAGTACTTGTTTGATCTTCGTTTTGCATTTCAGTCGTGTTCCATCTGGGCTTTATGTAGGAACAAAGTAGGGATCCAACTTCCCCCTTTCCCCAGATGGTTTGAATAATTCATCTTTTCCCCACAGATTTGAAATGCCATTTTTATCATATACTAAGCTCTTACGTATATTCGGGTGTTTTTCTGGCCCCGGCTCTGTACCAGAGAATTTATCTATTCATTGGCTATTACCCTTTGTTTTATTTTTAAAGAATTATTTTATTTAACTTTATTTATCCATTTATTTATTTATTTATTTATTTTATTTGACCAGAGAGGGACAGAGTGAGAGAGAGAAGAGAAAAAGAGGGAAAGGGAGAAAGCAAGCCACCAGTACTCCAACCATGGTCGGCCACGTGGGAGTTCACTACTGTAACCATCACACCCCATACTAGTCCTGGCTACCATCATTTTTAAAAAGATATCTTTATTTTTAAAAAATATTTCTTTCTTTATTTTTATTTGTTATTATTTATTTATTTTATTTTATTTTACCAAAGAGACAGAGAGAGAAAAGGTGAAAGTGAGAGGGCCACCAGGTCCGGGATGCGAACCGTGGGCAGCCATGTGGGAGTCCAGCACCCTAACCACCACGCCAGCTGCCGGCACCATGATATCTTTATGTTTTGATAACTTTTTAAAACTTCATTTCTTTCATGAGAGTCATCCTTAGCTTCACACTGGGATCTTCACTCCAGGGCCCACCGTCAGCTGCAGACAGCCTGAGTCACAGAAGGGCGCAAGTACACCCACGCATGCTCACGGAGGCCCTGGGACATGAACCCAGGACCTTTCCCTGTGACTCCTGCCCCACCACCAACCCCTGTTTTGATCATTTGTAGTACTCTCCTCTTTTTTTTTTCAGTTGGCCAGAGGGCACTTGTGCTTACCCAGGGGAGACAGAATGGGAGAAGACGCTCCCACTGGGGTGTGGCCAAGCTGCAGTCCTGGCTCCGTTTCTCCATGCTGTTGGGATCTGGGGCACACAGGCCTACGTGGGCCTGCTGTGCTGTCCATGCCAACTGGGCCAAGGGTCAAACTGCCATCCCTCACGTGGAATTTAGCTCTGTTAACCACCAGGCTCCATGTCTGGCCCTGAAGTACCGTCTTCTTCTTCTTCTTTTTTGGGAGAGATTTTTTTTGGAGGGGTGCGGGGAGAGATTTTCACTGTAGGGCGCGTGCGCTCACCAGACAGACAGAGAGAGACAGGGAGACAAAGCAAGAAATCACCCCCCAGGGGGGATGGTCACGCCGCAATCCCTTCTCCTCCATTCTCCTCTCAGGATCTTGGGCACGCACGCACACGCGCCCAGTGTGTTTTAAGCCACCGGGTCCGGGACGTGAACCGTGGTCGACTACGTGGGAGTCCAGCGACATAGCCATTACTCTAACTGCTGGTTCCCAGGGAGAGATTTTTGCTATAGGGCCTGTGCGCTCTCCAGAGAGACAGAGAATGAGAAATCACCCCCTGAGGGGATGGCCACACTGCAGTCCCTTCTCCTCCATTCTCCTCTTCGGATTTTGGGAACACACACACATATACTCCCTGCATGAGTTTTAAGCTGCTGGGTCCAGGACTCGAACTGAGGTCTACTATGTGGGAGTCCAGCAATATAACCATTATGTCCTCTGCTAGTCCCTTACTCTCCTTTATTCGATTCAAACTTGAGAATTGTCTTTTTTTTTTTAAGTTGATAGTATTTTTATCTGGATAATATCAAATGTTTGGGATGAATTGACATCCTTATGATGTCAGTAATATTACAACTTTAGAGGCCAGCAGGGGGTGTAGTGATTAAGGGCACTGGACTCCCACATGGCCAACTGCAGTTCGAGTCCCAGAACTAGCAGCTTGCTTTCTCACTTTCTCTCTCTCTCTCTCAGTCTGACCCTCTGTGGTCAAATATAAATGAATAAATAAATATATAAAATAATTATTTTTAAAAAAGATTGTGAGACCCAGATCTGATAGCTTGAAATCATGTCAGGTGCCCATGCATGCGTGCCCAAAATCCCAGGAAGAGAAATGAAGGAGAAGGAATTGAGGTGTGGCCCTCCCTACTGGGCGGTGACGTCCCACTCTCCCTCCCTCCCCACCTCTCTGGGGAGCACACACACCCTATAGTAAAACCTTAAAAAAAGAAAGAAAAACACGGTGCACGTGTGTGTGAGCGTGCAGGGCGGCCATTCCTCATGGGGGTGCGTTCTCACTTTCCCACTCTCGCTGCCTCTCTCCAGCAAGCAATGCACCTTCTAACAAAGTGGAAAGTATATATATTACAAAGACACATAAAGTGGGAATCAGTGGAAAGTTAACTACTCCTGCATTTGCATATAAAGTTGCAATTTATTTTTAGATTTTTTTTTCTAGAGAGGTTTTGCTATAGGGCATGTGCACTCACCAGAAAGACAAAGAGACAGAGAGACAGAAAGCAAGAAATCACTCCTTTGGGGGATGGTCACGCCGCAATCCCTTCTCCATTCTCCTCTCGGGATCTTGGGCACGCACACAAAGGCGCCCGGCGTGAGTTTTAAGCCACCGGGTCCGGGACTCGAACTGCGGTCAGCTACATGGAAATCCAGGACATAGCTATTACACCAAATGCTGGGCCCGCCACAGCATGTTTTTCAATGTCTGGGACTTAAGCCAAGCAGCCAGCCATGTGGAATCCAGCCACCTTTGCTACCATACCACCTGGTGGCTCATCTTTATAATATTGTTTTCATCTTCATGATATTTTGAAGAATTACTTTATTTAACTTTATTATTTTGTTGTTCATTTGTTTGAACAAACTACTGTATCACGCTCTCTCTCTCACTCCTGGAAGAAGTAAATAAATAAAGAGGAGCCAGCCAGTGGTGTGGTGGTTGGTGTGGCTAGATCCCACGTGGCTGACCGTGCAGCTTGAGTCCTGATGTGGAGGCTTGAAAAACTTGCCAGGTGCGTGTGGGTGCATGCCCAAAATGCTGAGAGGAGAATGGAGGAGAAGGGATTGCAATGCGACCATCCCCCAGGGGTGCTTTTGTACACTCTCTCTCTCTCTCTCTCACTCTCTCTCTCTCTTTCTTTCCAGCGAGTGCATGTGCCCTATAGCAAATTTTAAAAAGGAAGGAAGGGAGAGAGGAAAAGAAGTAGAAGGGAATAAGTTCTTGCATGAAACATTTCTTCTTCTTTTTTTCTTATAGAGATATTTTTTTTTTGAAGTTTTTGCTATAGGGCGTGTGCGCTTGCCAGAAAGAGAGAGACAGAGAGACAGAAAGCGGGAAATCACACCTCTCCCAGGGGATGGCCATGCCGCAGTCCCTTCTCCATTCTCCTCTCGGGATCTTGGGCACACACATACATGCACCTGGCGTGAGTTTAAGCCACTGAGGTCCAGGACTTGAACCGCAGACAATTACATGGGAGTCCAGTGACATAGCCATTACGCCAACTGCTGGTCCTATTGTAGAGAGATTTTTGCTACAGGGTACATGTGGTAGATGGCCACGCAGCAGTCCCTTCTCTGTTCTCTTGGGATTTGGGGCACACACACACACACACACACCTGGCGAGAGATTCTAGCTGCCAGGTCTGGGACTCAAACCATGGTCGGCCATGTGGAAGTCCAGTGCCTTAACCACTACACCACCTGCTGAATCCTGAGCATTTATTCTTACACATATTCATGAGTATTTTTCATTTTGGGGTACCTTTTACAATTTTTTTGTAGGTTTATTTCTTCCATGAGAGGCAGAGACAGACAAAACCCACCAGAGTCTTCACACCATCATCCACCCCCAGCCTTAGCCCAGATCACAGGCGTGCCCACATTCGTGCTGGGAATGCTCAAGGCTGCCTTAAGACGTGAACCCAGGACCTAGCCATGCCGGGCCAGCATCGTGAGGTTCCTTTTCAAGCAGGCCCTTTTCCATATATATAATATGTATAGTATAAACACAGAACTGATACCTTTGTAACGTAAAATAAATAACAAATTATGTAATGCATAACGTTTAAAGTAAACTCCAGATTGTCTTCACATGTTGCTCGTTTTCCCACCTCTGTTCTAAGATCCCACATTTCCATGTGGTCCTCGCCTCTCCTTATGTCTCTGCCAGTTTCTCTGCATTTCCTTGTTTTTTGTGGCCTTGACAGTTGCCAGGAGTCCTGGTCAGGTATTTTGCAGAATGGTCCTCAGTTCTGGGTTGTCTGTGTTTTTTTCCCATGGTTAACCTGGTTAACCAGGAGTTCTTAGGGTGACACCACAGAGATGCCCCTGTCGTCAGGCCCCAAGAGGAGAATGGAGAAGGGATTGGCCATCCCCCTGGGGGGTGATTTCTCCCTTTCTGTCTCTCTGTCTTTCTGGCAAGCGCACATACCCTATAGCAAAAACTTCTCAAAAAAA